ATTAGGCTTTGGCTGTTGCAGGAAATCGATGCGACTGCAAAATATTTATAGATTGCCTCGCCGGATATCCGGCATTACGAATTATGTGCTCGGTAAATGAGATATGCCTAAGTAGCTTGTCTCTCTCAGTGCGTATGTGTGTGATCCTTAAAAGGTATATAATTACACGTATGTGTGCGTCTGTGTGTGTGTTTGCCAAAATGTCAGGCTTAATTATCGTTGCCATTAAATACAATTGTATTGTTTACATTTAATGCAGCTGCCAGTTCAATCCGCTTTAATCCCTCTACCCACTCAAACTTCTCAAATTCAATAATTTAATCAGTGCCCCATACAATTATATATAGCGTCAATTATTAATGGGAATTGCATTAATTTTATTTATTTATTTTTTTTTTTGTATAATATTATTCGATGTCTGAAGTTGGGTATACACGCTGCGCTGGAGTGATGCGTCAGCTAATGTAATATATGCATATCAATCAAGTAAATTATTTATTTAACTTATTATGGGTATATATTAAGTGTGTATTATTTAAATAAGTGTGTATTATTAAATAAAATTGTATTATTTAAATGAAATTGACTTGCTTTTGCTTCAATGCTTTGTATATACGCGATTTACTAAAAGTAGGCTTCCGTTCTCAATGGTAAAATTCGATATTCGAGTTAAAAATAATCGATTTTCGATAATCCATTTTCCATATTCAACTTTTGATTTTCAAGATTTTTCCGATATTTGATTTTAAATAATCGATTTGCGATATTTGATTTCATATATTCGATATTTGATTTTCGAGATTCGGTTAATTAAATTCGACTTTCCATTATAACCGATTTTCGATGTTTAATTTCCTTTCCGTTTAATATTTCGATATTCCATTTCTAAATTCCATTTTCGATATTTGATTTTGAATAAACAATTTGCGATATACACTAATAAGTATTTTGCGTTTGATATTCGATATTCAATTATTAATAGACGATATTCCATTTTGTATACTTGACTTACGATATTTGATGATCAATAATTAATTTTCTATATACAATTAGAAATATATTATATTCCATTTCCATACTCGACATTCGATATTCGACTTTACCTATACCATTTTCAATATTTAATATGCGGTTTTCTATATTCGACTTTCAATATTGAGATCCCAAAGACGGCAGCGATGGCGGTGTTTCCAGAACATTGCCGCAGTTTGTCTTTCGTCTGTAGGCAACTATATATGTATATCTTTCTGAAAAACACGTTCATTTCACGTCATGTCATCGGACTTTGTATTCTGCATCACGTTCCGCCCACAAAGTAATCCCCATGCATATCGCGCTGCGATATCCTTACAGGATATTTTCGCATTCGCATCACATGCGACTTGCTAGAGTTGTTCCGCCTGTTCAGTGAACTATTTAAATAAATGTTTGTTAATTTGTCAACGGGTGCGCCGAGCACCCATCGAAGGCCAATTGAAATGTGGACGCGTCCACAATTAAATTATTTAAATAAATTGCGTTTGCCATTAGTTTACTCGGTTGTTAACAATTTGACGCCAATCCAAATTGCGTTCATCAGCTTCTAATTAAATGTTGCACAATACGAATTAAGGCTTCGTGTATTTTTTCATTTCTTTTTTCGCTCAACAAGAGATAATTGGGAAAAGAGATGGGAAATAGAAATAGAGATGGTGGTAGAGATAGAGAGAGAGAGAGAGATAGAGAGATAGTTGGCTAAAAAGTTGGATAGAGAAGAAAAGAGAGAGATAGTTGGATAAAAAGAGGAATAGGGAAACAAATATAAAGAGAGAGAGAGAGAGAGAGAGAGAGAGAGAGAGGGAGCGAGATAGAGGCAGAGAGATAGAGAGAGATTCTATAGAGAGAGAGTGAAAGGAAGATAAGAAGAGAGAGTGGTATAAGAGAGGGATAGGGATAGAGAGAGAGAGAGAGAGAGAGAGAGAGAGAGAGAGTTGGATTAAAAGGGGGATAGAGAAAGAAAGATGAAGGTAGAGATAGAGACAGAAATGGGGAGAATGAAAGAGAGAGAGAGAGATATAGAGAGAGTGACAGTGAGAGAAAGATAGGAAGAGAGAGAGATAAAAAATAGGGATAGTGAGAGAGAGAGAGATGTCTGCGAGATATAGGACTGCCTTACAAAGGATTCTTTTCTCTATATATTAAGGAGGTAGATCTATTCATGCTCGTCCCTCCATCCGCCCTCGAATTACAATTAAACTCTTCATAGGACTCAATATAAATAACACGCATATGTCAATTGGGGGCATGGCAAAAGGCGAATGAGTATTCTGCAGTTGGTTACGTCCGACTGCATTGTTCTCTGTTGAATCTCTAATGGATATAGTTGTCCTTGGATCCTATTAAATGCTCTCTGAATACTTCATTCAAGAAACATTCTATCATCATCTTCTCCCACTCGCATCGCCTCATCGTCTATAGATTGATCTAAATTTGTCCCAATTACAGTTTGCCCTTGGCCAATCGCCGCTGGCACACACAGTGGCCACTCGCTATGGTCACTTTATTAATGCAATAACAATTTGTTTTCATGAATAAGCTGACTCATTGCCCATGAAATCGGACAAGAGTCGCAAATGGCAGCCAATGTAATTTGTCATAAATTCAACTAACTCTAGTGAATCTTTGCTAGCACACACACACACAGATACACATATATGTATAGATCTACATATATGTGAATATTTTACATACATAATTAATGAGCGCCCTTATCGAAAGTAAATAAGAAAATAAATCAAGCTCCGTTTCTAATTAATTTGTGAGCCGACATCTTGATGTTAGCATCGATGGCAACTTATTTAAATTAATTTGCCAGCTTTATCAATAGCACAAAAAAAAAAAAAAAAAAAGATTGGCAAATATTTAATTGTCTGATAAAAGCAAATACATAGAGAAATGAATGAAGAGAATAAAGAGTAAACGGTAACAGTAAATTTGTTTTTGCCTTAGCTACGATTCTCTCAAATTGGCTTAGAGAAATGTTCAAATTTACATGCATAAATTGGATAGGAATTGTATATAGATGTTATATAATGAGAAAGTTCAGTTACTATAGACATATACGAGGGCTGCTTATTGTATTCATAAATGTAGGCTGGTTCCTGTCTGGTCTTGACTTTTCAACTATTGCTTTGTAGCCTTCCCTGGGGGCGTGGCGATTCGGTAAATACTATTTCCGGTATCGCAGAAACCCGCTCATTGGGGGCATCATCAAACCATCTAATGCGATATATTCTACAGTTTTAAGGGTAGGACATGGACTATTGGATCTAACTATATAGGGATTTATAAAATTCTGTTTTATTTAGAGCTTAAGAGCTTGAAATTTCGAACACATGGGATTGACTCTTAAAGTTCTATGGAGGAAGTTCCAAGTTTTGATAATGTAGTTACTGTAGATGTGCTCTATCCCTAAACTAGATGAGGAGCACTTCAAATGGTAAAGAAAAGCAAAAATAAAACCAGATTTAAGACGAGTTTAAATCAAATTATAAACAAGTAAGAAGACTCTAGTCGAGACTGCTCGACTAGGAGATACCCTGAACCCTCTAA